GATGTATCAAAGGTTTTTTTAAGTTTCTTTTTAAAAGATGAAATTGAGATGGAGTCTCGTACAGTGCTATCAAGTGCATTCCATTTTACCATTGTAGAAGGGAAGAAGCTATTCATATAAGTAGTAGTTCTTGTCTGTGGTATATTAAAGAATCTGTTATTTCTGAAGGTATAGTTATTATTTACATTTAGAAATGGTTGAATGATATTATCGAGATAAGTTGGAGTGTAATTATTAAGAATCTTATACATTAATGTTAGTTTATGATTTTGTCTTCGTGTGTGTAATGTTTCAAGTTGTGTTTCAGTATACAGAATGTGATGAGATGTACCTCGTCTGAGGCCAGTAATTAAACGCATAGCTTCTAGTTGAACTGATTCTAAAATATCTGATTCAGATTTGGTACGACCGACTGATCGGTGTCTGGTTAAAAAAGTACCCGACCGAGAATATGTTAACCTATATTTTGTAACTGTGATGTATTCTGACGCGGTGCTAAACTAAAGGGTCAAATGTTGAATGACGTCATTTCATTGACTAAATTATTCATAAACATGTGTATTCTAGTCACCTAAACACGAAATTGGAAATTTCTCACGAAATGTCTTATCAATTGATATTTAAACGCATAAAATTAAATATCTAATTAGCTAAGCGAAAATTTACACTCACGAAAGTAACAACAAAGGTGTAATGATGCTTAAATGGTATTTAAATAAATATTTGCGAGTTATGGGAATTTTCCATAGTATCTCCTTGCACATCACCATAAAAAAAACCCACATCTCTCGGCAAATTTTGTTCGATTTACAATATTTTTTTAATACGTTTTATAAACTGATTCATTACAGTACAAACCTAGCGCTGCAAATTGCTATTTGTAACTGTTATTACATTTGATTGAATATACACGGAATATTTACGAAAGAGATTACGATTTTGGATATTAATTTGACCTTATTAATGTTATAAAAAAACGCTTATTTTCTTTCCAAAACCAATGTAATGTATCTGACGGTGTAATCCCCCGCCCTTTTTTTTTACATTGACGTATATATCGGTGTTGTATATGTTTACATATTACATGTGCCTTACCTGCCTCCAATGCCACACCGGGTCCAAATAGAACAATTCCTATATAACACGTCTGTTGAAAAAACCCATTCATTAGTATAAATGAAAATATTATAACACTCGAATACCTTTCAATTATTCGACATACAAACAACGAGGGTTAACATAAGAGAACTGCTACATTACATGTCTGCTGGAGAATATGTAATTTTTGATAAATACGTAGAAGAAAATACAACCAAATTCATTCTGTATTTCATTTCCTAATATTAATGCAGAAATATAAGTAAGAAAATTATTTTTCACAAGAAGAAATCCTTTACAAGACGTATAATGAAGAAAATGTCACTCACATCATTAATAATCTTTTGATAAGTTTGTCATACCCTGTTTATATTTCAAATTTATTTGCAATATAAATAATATAGGAAAGACGGCTGTAATGCTGGCATTCTTCTCAATACAGTGATATCATACTCAAAATTCGGGCGACATTAGAAAATTTGCTCAACCCCTTTCTATAAATATACAGTTATAGATGTACATCCCGTACATAAACATATCAACCAAAATTGTATTTAATACACCAATGACGGTGGGGAAGTATTCCTCGTGAGTGCTCTCTCCAATCGGTCACTGTTCGGTATTTGCCGTCATACTGTTAGGTGACGATACATTATGGCGTAACGCAGAATTAATATACGGAAATCCCCGAATGGTTTATCACCTGACGGAACTGTTATCCCTAGTAGCACGACCATGTTTCTGCAAACAGTTCCACCATTTGGTTAAACAGTTTGATTAAACACTAACATGTTCGGACATAAAAAGGCATAATATATACAATTTCTTTGTCTTTGTTTTCGTTAATATATTTATTGATGTGTATCTTTAATCACTGATGATGGTTGACCACACTGCTTCGTTCCTCAAATTAATAGTAGATCAGCTATGACGTCACGGTAGAGATATACATATTCATATATACAGTACTTACATAAGACAGGATGCCGAGGCAGGTACCAGTAAGTCTGACCGCTCGGGACTTGAACCGTAGTTCTAGGTACTGCAACAGAGAGCTTTACATTAACACTAGTACATTAAACCTATAAAGCTTTTACTTTCAGACAGTTTTTATATATATATTTGGGAAGTTCTCTAGATCCCTTTCGTGCATCACAACAAGACAATGATTATATTACTAGTTTATGACAGGTTTATGGATAACCCATCTTAAGAATGTTCAAATAACGCTATTTCTGCGTTTATACCGCTGTCAATAGAATGTTTAAAATAGCATTGTCAAGAGCAAAGTAATTGTCCACTATAAGCCGCAAATAAGGAACAGAGGTGAAACAAAATTGTAGAATATACGGATTTTGCAAATAAAGAGTGAACATCGCTACATATGTACATGTAACGCGACAATTGTCATACAGTCAAAATTTAAAAATGATCATTTTACAACAATTAAATGGTATCATTAAGTAGAGTTTATCACGGTATATGCTACACAGATTTCAATTTATTATAGGTACTTCAATAATAATACTGTGAAAGTACTATCTTAGCAGTATTATAATATTAGCGCTTTTCGTGCTCTACAACTTGCGCTAAGTTCTGATTGGGCTAATTGAAGTGTCTGTTTGTAGTTTTCCATTGCATGTTTTGTGAGTGCGCCAATTCATTTATGCGCCAATATGTAAAACTTCGATAACTAGTTCAAATTTGAGTCAGCTAAAAGATATATTTTTACAGTAAGTGAACATAGACTAGAAATAAAAAAAACAGTGCACTTATTCGAAATTCTTGATTGTAAATGCAGAAAAACAATTAATATAAACATGTTTCTAAATCAAATAGCAATTTCGTTCGTTTAAGAATCCTCAGTGAGTACTTCAGGCCAGGAGAATGAAATCAGTTCATGTCCAACGTGTTTGGAAACATCCGTCGAATATAAAATAAAGAGTAAGGTACCCATGCAACACCTTTATCGTTACATTAACAACCTTCGTATTAAAATACAAAAGGGGTGCTGCAGTCAACCTCGGGGACTGATAGGTCATCAGGAAAGTCAACCAACTTGTTGCGTAAAATAATCAATAATATACGAAGAAATGAAACACTAATTTGGAAAATTTTAATTTTGAATAGACAAGAAAGCCTCACAAAGTAAACATTTTACTGTAAACAACATCAATAACAACAGGAATAACATATACTTAGTAACAATCAACCTAGGGGAAATATAAACACACAAAATGATATGAATATGTAACAAGTCTACTCATCATGAGGGGTATTATAAGACAGTTTCCCCTACCAAACTTACCTCATATGCACTGGTGATTTTAAGTGGATGAAGTAGTGGGACTAAGATGTTGATTGCCAATATGTTAGCGACGAAGAAGCCAACTAGCTGCAAAACATACTGGATGCCGTATTCGTAGACTTCTGCTGGAACTCCAAGCATCATAATGGAAGACTCGAAGGAAACCATCAACGAAATAGCTACAGGAAGGACTTTCATTCTGCGGTTTCCAACAAGAAATTCCGATGTTGTTTTTTGTCGGCCGCCAGCAAAGGCGTAGTATAAACCAATACCAATCGATATAGCAATAGTCAACCCAAAAATAATATAATCCACCAGCACAAAGGCGTGTAAGGACGCCATGATGTCTGCAAAATAATAATGATACTGTGTATTAATTTATAAGGCTATAATTTAAATCTTGAAAAATTGAGATTACACAGGTTTTCAAACCAGTGGTTGCTTTTAATCATGTCTATCTAAATCCTAAATCGAATGAGTCAATTTTAAAATTGTATAAAGATACTAGGTTACTGATTATCAAGCACCACGAGTTTGGGAAACTTTTTTTTCACATAACGTTCAGATATTTTTTCTTTGGGACAAATCATTCCTGTTTCCCATTGGGGAAACAATGGTCAGGGACTTTGACGTCACAATGGAAGATGACGTCTCAAAACATTGTTACCCGACGCTATAATTAGACATTTAGAAGATTTACCACTGAAATCACGCTCAAAGTATTACACACGAGTGGGTAACCAAATATGTCTACCAACTCATAACAGGCATGAGTTGGTAAGGAGGAAAGCGATAGTGGTTTTGGGAGAAAGGTTTCACTCATTTCGTCAATTGGTAATTTAAAGGTTTCATACTGAAAATGCACCTTCTTATTTTCGGAAATTGACAGGCTGATTTTTTTTTAATATGATTTTTCAAAATTGATGAAGTTAGAAAGGCAATAATAAAAAATGGATTAACTGAATACTGTTTTCACACCTTTTCTACACAACATGCGATCAAATGTTTTAATATGTTTAATCATGTCGTATAATGTGTCCTGTTAATTTCCTTGACGTTTGAATATTCAATTATCTGCCATCTGCAGGTCAGAGATCGATGAAAGAATTCATCTGCTATGTTACCCACTGCTTGTATCGTAAAAGGCGATAAATGTGGGAACCCCCTGCAGAAGTAGGATGTTGCTTTTGTGCCTTCTACTTTGGGACACAAAAGCGACCAAAATAAATATGCTGCTTCTATTGAAGTACTTGGAATCTTTATATTTCTTTTGCTTCTATCTCGTATATCTTAAATGACCTTAACTGTTAATAGGACGTTAAACAAAATTAAACCAGACCAACACCGGACCTATCGCCTTGCTTGGCAATACCTCACTTTTGGCTTTAATGTTGAACGTTGGCCCAGGCGAGGAAGGCAATGGGTTCTGTCCCCATGCCGGAACATACCAAAAACCTTAAAAATGGTAGCTGTTATTCCCTGCTTAACGTTCAGCTTTTAGGGTAATGACAACTACTGGTTCACCCGTTGTCAGTATAATGTAACCGGGCGTAATGCTTTGCTTGGGCAGTCGGTATCAGACCCTCGCTATCACAAGGAGGCAATTACACCAATATACCCTGTCTCCGGCACAATTCACTAACTCACACACATATACAACACACACGGAGACACGTCCTTAAATGACCCTAGCTGTTAATAGGACGTTAAACGAAATAAAACCAAACCATTCAATTACATTGCAAACATTTGTCAAAATATATTGGAACAATTGGTTTAGATCAGTTTCAATTCGTCAAATTACAATTGTCAAAATATGAATAATGAAATTAAATCTGTAAATAAATACGAATGATCGAATCTTTGTTGTGAGTGATCATAAGCGAGCAATGATTGATAAGCGTTTACATTTATACAGGGCGTTTCTTATGTAAATTCTTATTTACCAATGTAACTATTAAAGTAAAGAAAACCNATTGTGAGTGATCATAAACGAGCAATGATTGATAAGCGTTTACATTTATACAGAACGTTTCTTATGTAAATTATTATTTACCAATGTAACTATTAAAGTAAAGAAAACCTGGTACAATGAAAAACAACTTACATGGTAAAAGGATACTTCTTCTCCGAGAAAAAATGCCTCGAACCACAGGATGCTAGCCGAAAAATGTTTATCGAAGGAAGTGACGTTCACTGAATGATGTTGGGAAATAATGAGTACATGGTCACATTTGACATATACGTATACCTTAATGTATTCTGTACTGGAGCGCGTAATGTGCCAGTATGTATTAATTGTTCGTGATCTGATTCGCAATCACTATAAATTATGTCAAGGTTTATACGACGCATGTTTGTGAATGTTGCTCTAGACCCTTGCAATGCATGTTTATACCTTACTAAACTTAAAAAAACCCAACATTATTAGTTTTTCTTTTGTTGCTTTTGTTTCTCAATAAACTGTCTGATCGTTTACAACAGTTTGAAACATGTAATTTACTTGTCACGTGACCATTACGAAACACAACAGTATCACTACCTAGGTAAGCCTTTCCATTGTTACCCATCATCGCGTGTGGCCATATAATGTTACAGTTTGAAGCGTTCAATTTCTAAATATATTTCGGAGGACTGTACATGTATCAAAGGATTTTCATACTTTGGACATTAAGAACCACTGATAAGTCCTTAAATAATTTGGAAATGATGATGTAAACATCATGCCATGATGTTCTTTGATACCATAAGGGGGACTTGGAAAGCGCCCAATGGGAAGTCAGTGTGAACAGCAGCTTGAGTGATATCATTTGAAGAAGGGTACATCACACATATCAATATATTCAGGTTAAATAAGCATATAAATCGTCGTTGTTTACTTTAATTACCAATAATACATGTATTCTATAACATCTCAACGAGTGTGTTGAAATGAAGTGATACTGATTTACCTACTGGTGTACACTCTCCTATATTCAATGGCTACTCATCTCAGAGCTACAGTCTATATTTTGTCTGACGTGAAGGTCGATGATGCTTATTTTTATTAATATGCTCATAAGTGTGCCTTGTTCTCTAGGTTGTTTTTTTTTGTTTCTATTTTTTGTCTATACTCCAGTTCTTGGTATGATGACGTGACATTACCTGGTTCTCATTCGATCATTCGTATTTATTTACAGATTTAATTTCATTATTCATANGTTTTATTTGTGTTTTTTCCCCTCATTACTCTAGTTCTCGGTATGATGACGTGACATTACCTGGATTTGACCTGATATTTGTGCCTTGTTCTCTTGTTTTATTTGTGTTTTTTTCCCTCATTACTCTAGTTCTCTGTATGATGACGTGACATTACCTGGACTTGACCTCATAAGTGTGCCCACGACTTGACCTCAGCAGTATGCCTTGTTCTCTTGTTTTATTTGTGGTTTTTTTCCTCATTACTCCAGTTCTCGGTATGATGACGTGACATTACCGGGATTTGACCTCATAAGTGTGCCTTGTTCTCTTGTTTTATTTGTGGTTTTTTTCCTCATTACTCCAGTTCTCGGTATGATGACGTGACATTACCACGACTTGACCTCAGCAGTATGCCTTGTTCTCTTGTTTTATTTGTGGT